TCACTTCCCAGTCTCACGCCAGTGATCACAAGCCTGATGCCACATTCAGAGCCCACGCTCCAGGACACTCAGTGAGGGGTTGCGAGTGCCCAGTTCCTCCCTGTACCAACAACGTCTCTGCCTCGCTGTGCCCATGGGACTCACCATCTCGCATGCTCTCCTAATGGAATCCAGGGCACTTTGCTGGCTCCCGTCTTTTTCAAACTCTCTGCTTCTCCCTTCCTTTATCCCCAACCAAGGACTTAAAACCTCCATTGTGTTTCTTTTCCTCATAATTTTCACATAGTCGGCTCTTTATTTCACGGTTATGTAATGTCAATCCCTTTTCTGGCAGATAGAAACGACTTGCATGGACATTCTAGAGACCAGCTTGCAATGCAGAGGAAAACACTTGAGTGTGTCTAGTTTCTGAACCCAGCTATGTGTGGCCTTGATACAGAAATGCGGCTCATGTGGACATAAAAAGTAGTTTCTGTTTATGCCACGAACGCATTCTGTTCTGGATGTATTCACAAACACCTCAACTTGACAGTGATAGACGGAAAGTTCTTGTTCATTTTGTCAACCTGTGAAGTAACAGGCACATATGTGAGAAATTTTGTAAGAAATCTAAGGGTAACACACCATTGCTTAAAATAAAATTCCACTGAGATGATGTATCTGTGATACCCAAAGAGCTGAATTATTTTCAGGTAAAACAATTTTTATTTAGCTTTAAATGTAATGAAAGTACCCATGTCAGTCAGGACATGGACCTAAATTCAAATAGGTCACTATAAATATTCACAATCAACAAGACTGATTTTGTAGAAAACTGGGAGATGTTACTTTAATTCATTTTACAAATTATTAAAATATATTAAATAAATTTGGAAAAAAGGTGTCCAATACATCATATTCTGTTTTAGCAAAATAAAATGGATGTCAGAAGGCAGTATGTTATTGGCAAAAAAGTAGACAAATGGGTCAATGGAACAGAATAGACAGCCAGAAATAAACCCACATAAATATAGTCAACGAATCTTGAGCAGAAGAGCAAACACAACCCAACAGAGTAAAGATAATCTTTTCAACAAATGGTGCTGGAAAAACTGAGTACCTACATTCTAAAAAATAATCCAGACACAGACCTTATTCCCTTCAGAAACATTAATCCTTTATGTATCATACACCCACATGTAAAGTGAAAAAACATAAACTCCTAGAAGATAACACAGGAGAAAATTGTGGTGCCCTTGGGTTTGGTGATGACATTTTAGACACAAAAACAGAGGCAAGATGCATTTTAAAAAGAACTGATATGTTAAACTTCATTAAAATTAGAGTCCTCAGCTCTGCAAAAGACACTATCAAGAAAATGAAAAGAACAGCCACAGACTAGGAAAAAACAATCTGCAAAAGACATATGGGATAAAGAACTGGTATCTACACTATATAAAGAACTCTTTAAAAAAATGGAAATTAACAACCTGGTTAAAAATGGGCAAAAGGACTGAACAGACACCTCATGAAAAGAGACAAACGGATGGCAACCGAGCATATGAAAAGATACTCCACATCATGTCTCATCAGAGTATTGCAAATTAAAGCAATAATGAGACACTACTGCACATCTATGACAATGGCCAAAATCCAGACACTGACAGCACCAGATGCTGGTGACAATGTGGGGCAACAGGAACTCTCACTCATTGCTGGTGCGAATGCAAAATGCTGCAGCCTTCTTTGAAGACACACTGTTGGTTTCTTACAAAATTAAAAATACTCTTACCATTCACTCTATCAATCTCAACCTTCGGTATTTACTCAAATGTGTTAAAAACTTATGTCTGTAGAAAAACCTTGCACACAGATGTTTATAGCAGCTTTATTCATAACTGCAAAACGTGGAAGCAACCCAGATGCCCTCAGTAGGTAAATGGGTAATAAACTGTGGCATATACAGACAATGGAATATTATTCAGTAGTAAAAAGAAATGAGAACCACAGCCATGCAAAATCATGGAGGAAACTTACATGCATGTTACTAAGTGAGAGAAGCCAATCTGAAAGGCTAGGTGCCAGATGAGTCCCACTGCGTGACATTCTAGTAAAGGTAAAACTATGGAGACAAAAGATCAATATGTGTCAGGGGTTGGATGCAGGAAGACATGAATGGGTGGAGCACGGGAGATTTTTAGGGCAGGGAACTACTCAGTGTGATACTACCATGGTGGATCCCTGTCATTACACATCTGTCCAAGCCCACAGACTGTGCAACACCAAAAGTGAGCTCTCATGTGAATGCTGGGCTCTGGGTGGCGACGACGGTAAGTCAATGTAGGTGCATCTGCTGTAACACGCACCCCACTCTGGTGTGAGGTGCTGATAGCTGGGGGAGCTGCGCACATGTCGGGGGTGGTGTGTTATGTGGGAAATCTCTGTGTCTTCCATTCAATTTTGCTGTTAACCAAAAACTACTCTCAAGAACACCGTCTGTCAAACAAAGAAACGAAAGCTCTGAAAATAAAAATTGCCTTTTATAAAGTGACCTTGTCATTTAGCACGTCTTTCTCAGATAGCATAGAAATTTAAAATGGATTTTCCTTTAAAACATGGCGTATACTTGACATTTTATGCAGAACACCTAGAGAACTTAAAAAAAAAAAAAATGGTGATTGGTCTCCACCCAAGACCAGTCAACTCAGAATCCCTGAGGGTCAAAACTGGACATTAATATTTACTTTAAATCTCTCTAGATGATTTCAGTGCATACCCAGTACAGTACCACTGGCATTAGGAAAGGGGTATAGGATTTAGAACAAGAGGGAGTAGAATTCAAACTTCGAATCTGCAAATTAGTACTTTTCACCTCATTTGTGTCCCAGTTTTTCAGAGTTTTTATGAGATTTGTAGATAAGCTATTTGAAATATTTGTCAGGAAATATAAACTTTAAAAATGGAGGCATCGTTATGAATGACCTCCAGGCTGTGTGCAAAAGAAACATTGCCCATAAATGTCTGGGACATCATTCTTATTAACATCAACCCCAAACATATACATATTGCCATCCGTTAAGTTCCTGTTTTGAGATAATAATTTTGTTTAGGACTGGACTCAAAAAACTTACCAATGTATCTTGCTATCCTAGCTTCCCTTACTATTAATTAATTGCAATAAAATTGTACCTTATTAAATGGAAAATAACCAAGAAATACTAATGTTGATTCAATATAGCCTGACTCAGGAAATGCAATAAAAATGATGAAGAAAAATAAAAGCTGTTGGGAAGAACTCAACCACCTTCCATAATTGTTTATCTATTTATATCTAAGTATATAGCTATAAGTAAGTTTAACATTTTTAACATGACCAAAATACTGTATACAAAAAGAAGCCAAAGATCTGATTTTATTATTGAAGACTATGTGAATCCTTCTGCTAGTATCACTGGAGCAAAAATATCCTTGTAAATAAGTCAACAAATAACAGATACTAGTGAGGCAGTGGAGAAAAGGGAACACTTGCCTGCTGCTGGTGGCAGTGTAAATTAGTTCAGCCATTGTGGAAAGCAGTTTGGTGATTTCTCAAATAACTTAAAATGGAACACTTATTCAACCCAGAAATCCCATTCCTGGGTATATACCCAAAGGAATATAAATTGTTCTACTATAAAGACACATGCATATGTATGTTCATTGCAGCACTGTTCACAATAGCAAAGATATGGAATCAATCCAAATGCCCATCAGTGGTAGACTGGATATAGAAAATGTGATGCATACACATGATGGAATACTATGCAGCCATAAAAATAGTGAGATCATGTCCCTTACAACATGGTTGGAGCTGGAGGTCATTATTCCAAGTGAACGAATGCAGGAACAGAAAACCATATACCACATCTTCTGTCTTGTAAGTGGGAGCTAAACATTGAGTCCACACAGACATAAACATGACAGCAATAGACACTGGGGCCTATGGGAGGGTGGAGGGTGGGAGGAGGGTAAGGATTCAAAAACTATCTATTGGGTACTATGGTTATTACCTGGGTGAGGAAATTATCTCCACACCAAACCCCTGTGACACGGAATTCACCTATATAACAAACCTGCACATGTATCCCTGAACCTAAAATAAAGTTTTTTTTAAAGGAGATCATTCTATATGTATTGACATGTAAAAATATACATGATACATTAAATGAATAAGATTATAGAACCATAAAAAGTCATTGTCTATATAGAAATGTTATATAGTTTTTAACTTAGAAAAAGTGGGAAGTTATATTATTTCCAATTTGAGACTAGTTTTAATATCCCTGCAATGAAAATCTTGCTGTAGAAATTCAGTGTGTGTGTGAGTGGAATTTTTCTTCTGGTGGGCTTTGCATTATAGACTATTATTCTGTAAGACTAGAGTTTCAGAAAGTACCCCAATTTGTTACTCTTTTAAGATTATCACTATAGACTGTAAATAGCTTTCTGGAAAACTTACCCCACTTCACAAATTAAATGAATGCTTTATTTACTGAGCATCAATGTGTTATGCAGATACACAATGATACACAAATAAATTAGGTGATACACAAATAAATTAGGCACTGCTTTTGACTTCAAAGAACTTAAAATTAGATGGAAGATAAATAGGAGAGATTGTGTTAAATTATGTTTTAACATCTTGTGTAAAGTGTTATTGCAAGGCTTAATGTCTCAATTTCCTCAGATTTCATCCCTCCAAATTGAAAATGGCAGCATAGAATAGGATGTGATGTGCAAATTGCATCGTGTCTACACTGTTTATATTTAGGATTCACCTAACTTCAAGAGTGCATAGCTCATTCTAAATGGCTGAAATATTTTATATGAAATACACTGGTTTTAATATCACTATGATGAAACAGACCAAATCCTCAAAGGTGTGGGAAAGGACCTCTGAATGTGGGAACCTGGACTTCTCCCCAAAGGATTCAGTTCCCACCTAAACCACACAGATGGGCAGATACTCCCAGACCACTTACGCTTACAAGTGGGCAGCTTCCCCTTGTTACTCCACAACCCATCTTCTTGACACACGGCCGTTGCTTGCTGGCTGGGTTCAAGCTTGAAGCCCTCGTGACATTCATAGACCACTTTACTGTCCAAAGTGAACTCGTTCCCGGTAAACGAACCATTTCCTGGGGATTCTGGGATTCCACAGGACACAGCTGAAAAGAAATGAAACAAATGCAGGCTTATTCTTACAGAAATTATTTTCTAGTTATTAAAACTATTAATTGCTATTATGATGATTAATTCTGTTTATCTAGTTTTCATTTTAAATACATATAGAAATTGTGAATTATAACTCTCTTTTTTTTGGAGATGGAGTCTCGCTCTGTCACCCAGGCTGGAGTGCAATGACTCAATCTCGGCTCACTGCAACCTCCGCCTCTCGGGTTCAAGCGATTCTCCTGTCTCAGCATCCTGAGCAGCTGAGGTGGCAGGCACACTCCACCATGTCGGCTAATTTTGTATTTTCGGTAGGGACAGGGTTTCACTATGTTGGCCAGGCTGGTCGCCAACTCCCAAACTCAAGTGATCCGCCCGCCTTGGCCTCTCAAAGTGCTGGGATTACAGTCATGAGCCACAGTGCCTGGTGTGAATTATATTTCTAGGGCATGGGATAAGTATACACATTTTCAAAATATGAAGGATGTTAAAGGTTAATGAGAAACAATGGAAAATGGGTCAGAATTATTTTTCTGGAAGATAAGTCTGACCACTCTCATGCAGCTTAACCGCAGTCTGACATATTTTATCAGAAGGTGTGGCCAGGGGAGCACGGGCGTCACACACTTATCTTCATCTCATATTGGAAAGAAAGGGGAAAGGATGAAGTAGCATCTTTATCATCGCAACGCTTATTGCAGTGTTGACTCTTTGGTGTCGAAATTCCTAAGAATCAGCCGCCTCAGCTCTCAAAACTCTTCCCCTTTTATTGCTCCTCTCCCCTTCCCCAACTCATTTTCCTTTAAGTCCCAGGAACTTCTGTTACAAGAAAACAGAACATAAGGAACGGATAGAGGAGGCACTCAGAGAAGATTCCCAGGGCAGATGGCAGCGTCTAGCAGAGATGTAGACCGCTTTCACGGGAAAGACCATGCAAGAAAGAGGCATGTGTGCAGAAGAGGTTTTTTAAAGAACAAGATTTGGGGAGAATTCTGTGTAAACCCTTTCTTCTTAAATTTACTACATCTGATCCAGATGTATCTACTATGAGACAAGGAAAAAATTCTCAAATGCCTACACGTGACAGTCATGAAACCAACAGTCAGACAGGCAGAGAATGACATTTCAACGATCATGTACCCACTTCAGGTGCACTTGTAAAAGAAAAGTTCTATGGTAACTAAATAAAGAGCCTTCTTTTACTCAATCAGTATTAAAGATATTGTTCACACCATGGATTTAAATTTAGACAGTTCAAACTTTTTCCCATGTAGATTCTAATGAGAGTACCTGTGTAACAGGATAGAGCTGGAAGGGCTGGATGAAGGAATTTATATAAACACCTAATTCTACGTATAAAGAAAACGACTAACCTAAGGTGACACAATGGCCTAGTAAAACCTCCGGCCAGAGAGTAAATCTTATGACTCCCAACTGAGACTATTTTCTCTTCTGCAAAAGCACAGGTTATCTCTGGTATTGTTGGAGTCCCTTGGTTTGCTGTTTTGGTTCTTTCTTCTTTATCAATATATTAAATAAATACAATGGGAAATTGCCAGAGAAGTAAAAGAAAATGTATTCCCCAATAAAATCCAAACTCCTGGAAATTTCAAGGTCTAAAATGTCTCTTGTTTAAATGGATGATCAGGTATTGCAACCATCAAAAATACATGTGGGCCAGGCACGGTGGCTCACGTCTGTAATCCCAGCATTTTAGGAGGCTGAGGCGGGAGGATTGCTTGAGTCCAGGAGTTCTACACTAGCCTGGGCAACATGGTGAAACTCTTTCTGTACCAAAAATACAAAAATTAGGCAGGCATGGTGGCACACACCTGTTGTCACAGCTACTCGGGAGGCTGAGGGGGATGGATCACTTAAGCCCAGGAGGCAGAGGTTGCAGTGAGCTGAAATTGTGCCTCCAGACTGGGTGACAGAGCAAGGCCCTGTCTCAAAAACAAACAAAACACATGTGCGTGTGTGTACATGTGCGTGTACATGCATGTGTATGTGTGTGTACATGTGCATGTGTACACGTGTCTGTGTACGTGTGTGTATGGAATATTACAATAATCCATTTGCAGTAGAAGAAAAATGAAAAACCATAGACATATAGGCATCATTTGGGGCAAAGCATTTAAAATAATAAGTAATCATCTTTGGCTCTGTGGAAGCAACAGATCCATAGGAAGACTGTTGGCATCTGGAAAATGTTCATCTTAGTTTCCTGAATGCAGTAAATGCCATAGACCCATTCCTTTCTTTTCTGTGTGTATCTCACGATGTTCCAGTATCTAGCTTCCTCGTCATTTTCTCTCAGACTTCACTCCGATAATCATTTGTTCCTGATCGCAAGCCTCAATTTCTCTCCCACTCGCTGGCTGGAATGTGCTCAGTGTTCAGCTTCCCTAAAATTTTCATTCGGGCTGAGCACGGAATGAAATGACATTTTTCTGTCAGGTTAAATGGGAAAGATGACATTCTACAAATTCAGATGAAGCCCTATCGTGAAATGATTCATACTCAGGAGACCAAGGCAGAAAATCTTTATAGCCCCTTGTTACACCTGGACGCTTCTTTGAGAAGTGAATCCTGCTTGTCCAGGTCTCAAGACAACCCATTTTACATTGCCTGATCAACAGCCAGGAATCTTTTTATGGTTTTGAACCACAGTGTTTAGCCCCTTAAGTGTCTTAACAAAAGGCTATTTGGTGGATTTAAAATAACGGTTGGCAATTGGTCAAAAGTGGAATTATAACACTTCTGATTTAATGAAGACGTGGCATAATCCTTATGGACTAAAATCAGGCTCATGGGATGAAGACGGTTTCCTGCTAAAGTCTAGTATTCATTCATCTCTCATTTATTCCCCCAATTTTGCATGATTGCTATATGACAGGCATCCATAGATCACTTGTTTTTAAAAATACTAATTAGCATTGGCAGTGTAAGACACTTTCACACTTTGGAGAATTTCCTTACATTTGGTATATCCAAAGAGAGTAAAATTTTCCAGTTGTTTTTTCTTTAATTGTACTAAGGTATTATTATACATCCCAGAAGTTTAGGCAAATAATCATTTATTGATCCTGTAAAGTTATCTTTTGTTTATCAGCACAGGCCTCAAACTCAGACGTCTGAGTCAGTTCTTGTTGCGCCTCTCAATAGCAGTGTGGCTTCAGCCAAATTACTTAATCAACGCTGTCTTCTTAAGCTCAGGTTATCAAGACCTATGTCAAAAAGTAATCATGAGGGTTCAATGAAATCATCCTTACAAAACGTGAGCCCTCTGTCCACACGACATAGGCATTCAATCCATGACAAATTATTATGATATGCAGAAAGTCAAATACTTATTACATTATATGCAGGATATGTGTTGTATTACACATACACACGTAAAATTTTTACTTATTTATTTGCAAATAAAAATGTTAGTTGCAAGGATCAACTCTCTGTCATCTATTTATTAAAGAGAGCAAAGAGTAAGTTGGTAGGTAGTAAGATGGCTTACCTCACTTTCCTATCTCATGAGAGGTGTAACAGTTTGGTTTCAAAAAAATAAGTAGAAGAGATGTCCAGTGTCCAGTGTTGTCTGAACCTTTAATACCATGAACCCCACATGGGATTTATTATTTGCATATTTAAGATCCTTCAAACAGTGGTTATTTTTCTTTCTGCAGCCTTAAAACATTTCTCTGTTTTTTTCTTTTTTTCTTTTTGAGACAAGGTCTCGCTGTCACCCAGGCTGGAGTGCAGTGGCACAATCCGGGTTCACTGCAGCCTCAACCTCCTGAGCTCAACCCATCCCCTTACCTCAGCCTCCCCAGTAGCTGGGGACTACAGGCCCAGGCCACCATGCCTGGCTATTTTTGGAGAGACTGAGTCTCACTATGTTACCCAGGCTTGTCTTGAACTCCTGGGCTCAAGCCATCTTCCTGCCTCAGCCTCCCAAAGTGCTGGGATTATAGGCATGAGCCACCGTGCCTGGCCAGCCTGAGGATTTCTGAGGATTTTTAAGTATTTCCAAAGTAAGCATATATGAATTTTTTTATTAAAATTATATATGTATATATAACTATAAATATATATATAAATGTTAATCAAAATTATAATATAAGAATATTCTAGATTACTATCTACATGGGTTCTACTATATAATATCAGTGCCTGCCATTTGCTTTTGTGTTTATAATCATGTTGTGTCAAGAAATAACAGTTAATTTTTGCAGCCTAAAGAGAAAAATATCAGAGGCAGATAATGAAGAAATCATGGGCTTGCTTCAAGTGAAGAACAAGTGACTATACAGAAAGTTCCACAAATATGAGCCATATAATGATTATATGGTAAGAAATGTTGAAAAGATTGACTCATTTTACATGCACACACACACACTTGGTAAATACCTATGAGTATCATGTATAATTTTTCAAGTAATAATTGAATTTCATAAAAACATCATCATCCTAATAGTTATTTTCCTCAACTTGAATTGTATAAATATGCATTTAACTTGTAAATACAAATATGTATGCATAGCTTTATGTTTGTATAATTTAGTAAGATTATAATCAAATAATTAAATTCAAAATCAGGGTCATTAAAACACCTTAGGAAACACTGACTTAAGGGAATCATCAACCATATGTGTGTTTGCAGGTATGTGTGTGTGTATGTGTGTATGTGTATGTATATGTATACACACTTCTGTCTATATGTCTGAGGAAACATATAAGTACATATGTATAATTATATCTTATTTTATACATGATTTTACAGTTTACATAGTGTTTTCACATCATGCTTTTTTACTTATTTTTCACTACAAGCCTATTAGACACAAACCTTATTCTACTTTCTTACAGGTAAAGTTACAGATGCTAACATTTTTTATACCATTTTCCCCAAGTCTAATAGTCATTAAAAGGCTGAGGCCTCAAACCGGGTCTGCTGAATTCCGGTAGAATTTCTCATCACATTACTAAAGATGCCTGGACT